ATATATATATATATATATATATATATATATATATATACGCGGCCATGCTAGAATGGTTAACAAAGAACCGAAATAAAAGATAGCTTCGCACCCAAAAATTGGCACAGTAAACAGTAATTTGTTGTCAGGAGAATTGCTGGAAAACATTCCTATAATAGAGCGTGGGCATAAATAGAAATAGGTCCCAGGGGAGGCGAAGGAGGAGAATACTGAAGAGAAGAAGAAAGTGATCCGTTGAAATAAGAAAATAGGCAAAAAGACGGTCTAATAACCAGGATTGTATTTGAAATGAACTAAAGCAATCTCCTGATGCAAGTCGAGATTTGTAATGTGAATAAAACGATAGACTACCTCCTGTGGCTTAAGGAATACGATAACATATACGCTACTAATAGAAAATGAATTCGCTGAACACCAGTGCACGGGATGCACAAACTAATTGGAAGTAACTGGACCACTTGAATAAGAACACTTTGCCGATTTCAGTTATTTCAAGCATTTAATGAGCCAAAGTCGATAAATGTGGTGACCCAAAAGAAAATCGATACAGATGAGAACTACTTTAGGAAAAATAACTCAAAGGGAAATGAAAGTAGGCTATAATTGCGTTAGGCCAAGAGTTAAGAACACACATCTAAAGAGAAGCGAATTCTTTGTCTCCCATGAAATCCACACTACAGTGAAGGTTTGTCTGGTATTTGAAAAAGCAACATCACCAATACAGTCTGAATTGTCGTTCTAACATAAACGAAACTTCTGTGCAACCTCGATTACTAAATGTTTTTGGCAAAAGATTAATGATAGATGTAAAAAAGGTAGACACTAAAATAGATGAGAACGAATGTACAAAATCGATTTGGTATACTAATAATATCTCTACGCATTATCTTCTAAAAATTCATAAAAAAAGTTGGCCATCATTAGAAACCCTAAATATTTTGGACCCGATCTATAAAAGAAGGCAAATTCGCCAGGTAGGACGAATTTGAAACCTGTTGGAACACACACGGACACCCACACAATCAGTGATAAAATAGCCAGTCTCCTTTAAAAAAAGAGACCACCTGAAATAAGATCAAAAGCCAAGAAGTTCCAGTAAAAAACAAACCTAAGACTACAAGCCGAGTGGTGGGCCTCCATAAAAAAAATACAAAAGAGCACATTAGAATGAGACTATTTCAGACAAACAGCAGATCGGCCACATGATGCAAGCCAATTGACAGCTTTTGTTAGAGCTCCACGGGGTTCATATACAGAGAGTATGAAAAAAAAATTAAACTGACTCAAGAGTTTAACTCCAAGTTTAAAACTTTCCACATTCCTTTCTAGACGGCTGAACAACAGATAAAAACCATATATGAATAAGCTAACCGACAATAGGAGAGGGGACCTTATAGGACATATGAGCTTTCATTCATTCTCTTCAAACACATCGATACATAAAAAAAATAAAATAAAATGTTGACTCACTCCCGACACGAGATGGAAAGCTGATGATTGGCATTCACCCCATCTCTGGGCAAGGACATACAACCACTCTCCGAGAGCACCGATGATTTCAGTGAAAATTCGCTGTTTTCAAACTGGTGTCTAGAGGAGCGCGGCAAGGATGATCGAAAGCTACTCAAGAAAGCCTTCTTCTTGCTAGTTGAACTACTCCCCGCACTGCTTCGCGAGACAATTCGGCTCTTCTCCAGACTGCTACTCCCATCGATAAGGGCTCCATCAGTGACTCCGGAACAGGTCGCAGCGGAAGCAGTGGAGATGATGGAAAGGGCTCCTGAAGGATGACGACCGCTGAATGTCGCCCCACCAGTGGAGTGGTGGTAGTGAGAGGAGAAACGGAGACCCTGGCGAATGTTATCTTCTGAGAGTTCCCAGAGACAGAGGAACGTATCTTGACCCACTGATCCCATACTGTAACAAAAAAAGTTGTTACAGCTGGCATGTTACAAAATAACGGTCAGTACAATAGTAAGGCTTTCTATAGGGAGTCCATCATCTGCGATCATAACCAATTTGCATACTAAGTACTACTAGACAGGAGGGGAAACATTTCTTCAATGACTATGCAAGTGAACACAGGTTGTGTCTTAATGTTGCTATTTGACTATTAAAAACTAGTTCAGTAATAAGCCTCTTTGTCGCGAATAGCCATAAGGCTGGTGGGCAACCTAAAATCAGCATGTAAGAATTGTTCATCAAGAGGCAAAATAACAGCTTTCAGACTTGAAGCTTATTTGCTTAAGTCCTATCAGCTTCAAATTTAATTAAACGGATATTAAAAGCGGGCATTATGATGAAAATAGATAGCAAAAAGTCCTTTCGAAAGGCAATATCGCCTTTAAAATGCTACTTCCAACCACTGAGCTCAATAATTCGAGAATTGAAGTGGAGAAAAGAGAGACGACATGGTCAAATTAGCACAAAAATCAGTTTTCACAAGCGCTCTAACGTAAGATATCTCCTAAATGAATACGACATAGTCACTTCAATCAACAAATTACATGGGGAATTTAAAAAAAAACACTAAATAGGGGTGAAACATGCTGATTAGAAAGTTAGAGGTCGGTATTATATGCATCAAAAAGAGCGCTGTTTCTAAAGGTGCATCATTCCGAAATACCTCACTTCATCACGTATGTATAGATTCCACTTAATTTGAAAGACTGTCCGAGAAGTAAGGTAATAAAATAAAGCTGCATAAAGGAAGTATTTGAAAAAATAAACATCGGATTTGCTAAAAGTGACCTGAATAAATACAAATACAAGTGACAGAAACGCTATAAAACTTGCGTAGGAGTTAATTCAATCGAAATCTCAAATGAATTTGAAACTGGGAAATTTCAAAAGCAAACATAATTGAACAATCATCCACCATCCTTTTTAACCATTCTCTTTGTGAAGCATATGCATTAAAATTTGAAATCTATTTCAATAAAGTCTCGAGTTCAAGTCAACTAAATCGTTAAGACGTCGATAAAATGGGTGTTTAAGGTAAAAAAATGCAGAATGAGCACTAGACAATAAATATACAAAATATTAGTATCAGGGTTTGTTCAAATGACAGAATGAAATAGACATAATGACATAGTTGCTATCCGATAGGGTGAATTAATCCGCAGTGGATAAGTCAAATGACCAGATATAATGAGAGAAACCGTATCCACGAGATTCAACAAAGCCAATACTCACCGATAAGTGCGGAAGGATGGATCAGACTCGGAATGTTGGTTAAGCTGATGAGGATGAAGGCTATGGGAATCTCCATTCGAGTTGGGATTCAGCACAGAGGCTGCAGAAGTAGTATTTCCAGTCTGCAAACCACTCCCCAACTGAGCATTTGCTGCCGGGTTGGACGTGCTGGTAGCAAGGTCGTTTGAAGCACTGCCACCACCATTGGAGAGGGAGGGTGGGTAGACAAAGGGATCGAAACGTACCACGCTGGTCCACGACTTGTGACCCTGTCCCCGACAGATCACCGCTTGCGCAGCAAAGGACCAAATCGTGATAAGATCATCTTGACCACCTACCACGACATACTTTCCATCTGGCGACCAATCCACGCAGGTCAGCCCACCAAAGTACGATCGCATAAAGCCCTATTTGAGATATAAAATTGAGTTAAAATTAGACAACGTGAAATTTAGCCTCATCTGAGTCTGTGTGTTATAGTGAATGGGCCGTTAATTGATCCTTTTTTGTGGCTACTGTTGTTGACAGCATCAAAGGCAGAATCAATTGAATCACTGTATCCTCAGCACAATAAGCGTTCAAAGATATTGGTTTCAATTAAAGTATTAACAAATAAATTTTGATATTTTTCTCTTCTGGCGTTCCTGGATCTGAACTAGTATAAGTTATATTAAATCAAACCATCTATTTGTTAAATCCTGACCTTCAAAGCAAATGTTTTACTGCAAGGATGGACAAAATATTTCGAATACAAGCCTATCAATATATATTCCGAGAGAAAAATATTGAGTTAATTTGTAAACTCAAATTTCAGCAACAGAAACTGCAAAGTAAGTAGAGATGGAACGTCACCACGGAGTAGTATCCACTTTGGATATTATGAAAAATCATGAACGCCAGTACATTGCTGAAGCAACGCTGACAGCATTCGTTCAGCAGAATACAACTGACTGAGAAATCCCCTCTATTTAGGCAAAAAAGTAAAGTTATGAATTATGGAGGTGACCGACGGTCTGGCTGACAACTAAAGAGGAGAATTTTCCCGGTATGAGCAAGAAAGAAAAGACCAGTTACTGATGTCGAAACTATGTTCAAGTACATCAAGAAATAACAAAAAAATCCAATAAATAATCGAAATGCTGATAAAATAAGTGTTTGAGCAGCATGATCATTACCAAGGAATTCACAACAAATTTCCCAACAAAAAGGGTTTCAAAATTTTGACGGGAATGGGGTAGCAATCAAAGACCAAGAGAAACAACGATTTCAATAAATAGGAATAATGACGAGAAAGTAGCATTAAGGTATCATTATTCCAATTAAATTATAATGCAAATTGATTAAAACCATTTGAGCGCCAAAACCAGCGGTACCAATAGCCGCAGTGTGCGTTATAAAATCTGATGTGGAAAGGAAAAACGTTTAAAGATAAAAGAAAAAGGAAATAACTTGAACATTGTAGTAATAACGCACTCTCGTTTGTTAATCTTCAGCATCTTCAAAAGGTTGCAGATTATGAACAGTATAAAGTACGTGAAGATTAAATACAACGAATTTACTATTTACAAACAATGCTTAAACGTCACATTCAGCAGATGATGTAACAATAACATTACACTTAAGTCTTATGATTTACTGGTTTCCATATGTCATCAGATTAAATGATTCATTAAATTCAAAAAAATATTACAACAGTGTAGAAAATTAAACATACAAACTAAAGCATCAGATTCTTCTGAATATAGTGATTTCAAACAAAAAAAAAGATGAAGGAAACGGGTTTCAAAATGGCCATTTAACACTTTGCTTGGACAGCGTAAAAGAATGTAGTAGCCAAGAAATGCACTTACATAGAGTTGCATACGGTGATAATCAAACACTCGCAGATACCCATCCTCGGTAACAACTGCAAGATATTTTCCACAAGTGGAAAAGGCGAATTGATTAATGGAGGGCAAGGGAGCGGTAGAAATATCACAGTCATCAAATATTTTTGAGTGTGAAGCATCAGTAAGGACATTTGTAAGAGCCCAGTTATAAAGAGGGTTGCAGGTAGACTTTGTCTTGCAGGTGAAGACAACGTAACTGGTATCCTTTTTAAACAATTGGTAGACTGGAGGTGTTGGGCAACAGGAGAGATCATCATTATATAAATACATGTGGCCACTCGAATGAGCAACAAGAAATTGATTTGTTGAATAGGGAACCCAACGTATACAAGTTACAGGAGAACGCTCAATATATTTCTAACAATTAAAGTAACAAAATATTTTAATTAAACGAACCTCTTCATTGAAGACCTTACAAAGCTCTTTTTGGAATGGATCAATCAAGTGAATTTCACCTCCCGCAAAGCCCATAAGAAGGAGAGAAGAAACGCCAAAATCATGACAAACAGGGGCGGATGTTTTGAAGGTTTGTTTACCAGGAGTGTGAGAGTCGTATAGCTGATATGAGTAAATTAGTAATAATGGTACATACCCGACAACCAGGAATAGGGTAAATACATATATCTCGACCTGAATTAATGCAACAAACGCTTCTGCTATCACAAAAGGATAGACGAACTGAGGACAAACGACCAGAAGCAGAAATCCCAGGGAGGCATTTTGGCGATAGAACTGACTTTAACTTATATGTGCCTTCTGGAGTTTCGAAGTATTCCAAAACATCTTTATGCCCATAGTGTACGGACATTTTCTTTTAGAAAAATGCTTCAATTATTAGGGCTAACATATGTTTTAAATAATCCGCGAACGCTATGTATGGGTAAATTTACAGATCAGACTATTGATCTCAATCATATTTCAATTTTTCATGTAAAAATTCTAAATTAAAATTTTTAAATTTAATATTTATTCAATTAAAGTTAAAATAAAATTAAGCAATTATACGAAGGTTCTGTATAATTGTTTACGATTCATTATTTTGAAAAATTGCATTTATTTAATTATGGTTTTATAGGAAACCGAAAAATGCAAAATAAGAACGAATTATCTTCATCAGCTTTATTTCATGTCTTGTGTTAACGGTTAACGCATGTTTACCAAACGCTCTTTATCGCTAATTTGTCCCTTGATACGACCAATAGCCATCAGGTCGTTTTCTTCGATAGCGTTGACTTACCGAAATAATTGCAGAATTTCATGTATCCAGTTAGCTAAATATGCAACCCTTCCAACGGTTCATGTTTCATCTCACTCCGATTTGACTCCCGTCGAATTCGAGCGTCAAAGCGAACACACATTGCAGTATCTAAATACCTTCATTGAAGATCTTTCTGATAAATTTGAACTTGGAGAAGATTTTGACGTCTCTTATTCTGGTGGAGTTCTGACAATTACCTTTGGATTTTCTAACGGAACTTATGTCTTAAATAAACAAACCCCGAACAAGCAAATTTGGTTGTCCTCGCCTAAAAGCGGCCCGAAGCGTTTTGATTACGATGTGGCAACACACTCCTGGATATACCGAAATGATAGTACTGACCTATTCCATCTTCTTTCGGAAGAAATCTCAGAAATTCTCAAATCTTCTGTTGTCATTAAAAACCCTCTGTTTGATTCATAATTGGTTCGCTTGTAATTTATTTACATTGTAAATAAAATTAATTTTTTGTTATAAATTTAATTAATCTTCTGCTTACTCCGACGTCAGCTGGTGTGTATAGTAGTTGGCTCCCTCATTTTCATATGAAATGGAAAACCTTTAACGAACATTCCTCTTTTATTGATCCTTATTTTTTATCATTTTTGCCAATTTTATTGGTTTACTCAGTTCCTCCTATTGATTTCTATCCGATTTTCTTTTTTGGTTGTGTATGTGGGTTTTGCAAATTCACCAAATCACTTGGTGTTTAGTTGATGAATGTAAAAGATGGATTAGTTATAACCGTTCCAAAACTGCTACAGAACTTTAAAGCTAATGTGTTAGTTCTTGCCGTGTTATAGCAGACGACTCGTCAATAAGTGTTACAATTCTCTGCCTATTTAAGATTTTGTATCCGACTATTCATCTTGAGTTGCTGTTTGACATAATTTGACCGCTCTCTTTGGAAACTCGGATTTTATCAGCTCTGTATTAGCCAAATTTAACCATTCTGTTTAGCCATTCAGATCTCTGTTTGTACACTCTGTTGATTTTCTGACTTCAAAGGTGCTCATAGTAATGGTATGGTGGGAGCGAGGGGGGGGGGGTTAGGTAAAATTTACTGAAGGATACCATCTGTTTATATCTCATCATGTTAGTCGTAAAGATGCTACTTTTTCATATAAGGCCTTCCATCTCGTTATTAGACGCATCGTAAATGAGATAATGCATATTCTTTAAAAACCGTTGTATTTTCAAAAACCAAAGCGTTATTTTCTGTTGATTTTAGTATTTATATCAAACGCCAGGCCTTATGTTAGCTATCATTAGCCCTTTAGTTGACTTCGGGCTTCACCGAGGGAAGGAACATCAGTGTCGAGAGAGGGGACAGAAGAGTGTTTAACAGATGTAAAAGAGACAGACACGAAGGTAGCGAAAAAATAGAAAGGTGGGTACTGTGGACGTGGAGCCAACTGCCAGTTTATGGAGTTTTTTTGTCGTATGAGAATACATTGCCCTGGATGCACCGCGTGGAAGTAAGTCTATCGCTACCCTCCTGTTGACTTATTAAAAAGGGGCTACTTTCTTAATTAATCATGGAATATTTCGAGGTAATAAAATGTCGGCATTAAATTTCTTCCCTTTACCCAATTGTTGGTGTTTCATCTGTGA